TGTCTTGACTTTGAAAACAAAGTGCAGCGTTTCCTGGTAACAGTTAAGACGTTGGCCAGCTAACGTTACCGCTAGCCATAGACTAGCTTATACTGAATGCATTTAACGTAGCTAACACAGCATTTTCGGGCGTTTCACTTACTTGTGATAAGTTGGAAATGCCGAGGAGAAAGCAGATGGAGTCGAGTATGTTTGACTTCCCGCTGCCGTTCAGTCCAGTGATGGCGTTGAAAAGTGGGTCAAAGCCGCTGATTTCGGTTCGCTCCGCGTAGGACTTGAAGCCCTCTAACACAATAGACTTAATGTACATTTCGAATCAGCTCCCTGCGAACGGCAGTACAGTCCTCAGCAGCGCGCCTGTGAACAAGACCGACTGGAAATGAGGCTGAAATAACCCGCTGGCTAGTGACCTCCTCTCCTCCGTTAACTCCTCTCTTCTCTGAAACTCGAAAAGTTGAAAATTGGCGCGAGGCAATCCCCCCGTTCTCCTTCTGCTGTGTGGTTGTTGTGCAACCGCACTAAGCGAGCATACCGCCACCTACCGTTTTGGAAGAAACTTCCGCTTGGACGTGTGTGTGGACGAGTCCTTATATGTATGAACCAGTTCAAACTGCGATCCCACAGCAAAACAAATAAAGTGAAACAAAAGTCAGATTTCAGATATTTACAATTATTATATTGTATTATTAATGTATTATATATTTAATAAGTAATAATATGTATTATTATATTAATATGATTATATTATATTGTATTATATTATATTATATTATATTATATTATATTATATTATATTATGATCTAAATCCAATGCATTAATAGGGAGTGTTCTATTTGTGTCTGTCCAAACTGAAAACCCCAAAATTTCAGCTTGTGAAAATAATACTTAATTTTTTAATTCAGCTCAATGTTTTGTTTTTAACTATCTTTTTTTGTTTTAAAGTTGAAAGATTTAGATTTCAGATAACTTTCAAAAAATACTATTCAAAAATGCTGTCCCATGTTTCCATGTCACTACCGAAACACAAAAGGTGTATTCCAATCGCCCTCAATGATCCCTGCAAAGTGTACTACACAGGGGCCCAATCCCATTTCACCTCTCACCCCTACCACTTTGCCCTCCGTTTTGAGCGTTCATGCCAAGGGATAGGGTGTCCCGATTTTTGTTGAGATAGAGGGGCAGGGCGAAGTGTTAGGGCTACGTGACCCTCCAAAAAGACTGTGGGGCAAGATGGCTGCACAAGTGACCAAAGAAACCCCAATATATGAGTATTTTCTCTGTTAAAACATTACGATAATCATTGTATTGTTTTAGTTTAATGTCGCTTCAATGTGTTATGGTCATTTTCTTTATAACAAGCATTAGAAATCGCTAGTAGTAACGCTGATGTCTCAGTAGCTAGCTAGCTAAATTTCCCATCCCACCTTCAGTGGTGCACCGGTTACATTCTGGTCCATCAGGCGCCAGAACTGCTGCACAAAATATGTTATATGTTTGTTAAATAATGTTTATTTCAAGGTAAAACAAATATGTTTAAATAAACTCTAATTTACTGTCATTTTATGCAATGTCCTTTTAAATCTGACACTCAATGTGCTACATGCAATGGAAAACTAAAACAACTAGTAAGATGCATTTCTTGAAGAAAGTCAAGCGATTGCTGTGGTTTATTAGGTGGGTGTAAGGGTGTTTCAGATGGTTGCTAGGGTTTTTGTAGGTGGTTGCTATGGTGCTCTAGGTGGTTGGTAAGGTGTTCTTTGGTGGAGCTCGGCTACTGTGCGGGAGACACGGCGTTGGCAAATCGGAATCGGCCCAGGTAGGGATAGGGGCGAGGCCCTGTAATTGATGTATTGGTAAAAAAAAAACCTCAGATTCCACCCGTATCGAGGAGAGCAGATTCCACCCGTACTCAGGACAGCAGGTTACACCCATATTGAGGAGAGCAGATTGCACCCGTATTGAGGAGAGCACATTACACCCGTATTGAGCTCCGAGTCGTCACCAACGTTTCACCGTGGAGGCGGGAACTGCGCGCCTAGAGCCGCTTCTGGAAACTTCGGAGGGATTAAAAACACGTTTCGTGAGTAAAATTATTGGTTTATTTGACGTATCATTAGTTTTTCATTTAGATATTTATTCAGACCTAATCCTAGAATTTGTGACTGTTGAACTTTTCATATGTCAAAACGAAAATAAGCATCATTTCGTAACGGTTACTTTGTAACTAATTAGCTAGATAGCTAGCCATCATATAAAATTTTGGTAGGCTAGCGAGTCTCCTCTTTTAGACGTCTGTTTGCTCTCTCAAAATAAGAGAAAGGCACATTTTTAAAATTACAGTTTTAAAGTGGGACGGTGTCAAATTTCTGGTGTAATAAAATGGCGTGTACACTTGTTAGAGTTTCTAACCTAGCTAGTTAGCTAAGTAACCTAACGCTTGCTTAGCTAGCTAAGCTACGTCCGCACAATCTTAGACTACGTTTATAGCTCTACTGGATGACCTGTTCGTTCTGGCTAGCCTCTGCTAACCCCTGATGAATAAGGGCTGACCGGGAGACCGCGAGCGACTGGTTTGGAGTGACTGAAAAACAGAAACTAGCTAACTAGTTGGCTAGGTCACTACGCTCTGTATGGGGCTGTTAGCTTGGTGGCCAGCAGACTAATGGGCTCACACACCATAGAGCAGATTTGATGCTTTTCTCACACGAGTTTAGAGTATAAAAACAGAAATAGTTAAAACAGTTAAAACAATAGGTTAATAAGTTGAACTGAGCTGTGATTTGGTAACTAGCTGCCAAGTGGTTTTACACGCTAACTGACTATCCTATATAAGACTAAAGTTTGTGAAATTTGTCATTTTTCTCCTTATGTAAGTACTTTAAGGCTTAAAGTACTTACATAATCTTATCTTCTTTCAGTTACCTTTATGTTTCCTACATCTACCAGCAGTGTTTCTCATGTATGAAAGCAACTTTTATTTACCTTTTTTCTGGCATGGAAAGAGGAAAAAGATTTTTGATGGTATATAACCTATTTCACACCAATTGGAATGAGTTTGTCTATTGATTCATGGTATAAAAATCATTTGTCTGTGCATTTTTATGCCAAAGGCCAGGTCAGTGCGTAAAATAGGGCTAGAAAGCTGTGCTAGCATTTGTGACATTTGATTACATGTAGGATTGCACAATAATATATAAGCTACTAATTGCACAATGTGTGATGTGCTGACAAGTGGGAAATTAAAATTTTATTAAATTCAATACCGGAGATGATTTTGCATCTTATTTTTGCTTCCACAAGCATCGATGATCACATAGCCTTGCTCTGACACTAGAGACTGAAATTGTCAGTGGTGTGGAAACTTTTATTGGTTTCACCAAAGTAGAACAGAAGTGCACTTTGCAACAAAAGTTCAGCAGAGGTACAGCAAGAAACAAAATGAAGACTTTCAGGACCAGTAATCTAATAAGTTGTTTGAAACTGCTATTACAAGTAGTCTATATAGCATAGAGAAAAATCAGGCAGCATCTGCAGCTAGTAAAGGTGTAATGATACACATATTCAAAGAATCAGTTTGATGATCCATAACAAATGAACCAAAAAAAAAAAAGGTTACAGCCCCTTATTGGTTGTAAGTGACTTGAGAAAAATCTAGACATTTGAGCTTAAAAGAGCTTATGGTTTGTGTGGTGTGTTTGAGTCTCAGTCATATCTTAGTGGCCATGAATCTTATGTTGCTCTAGGTATCTGTTTTTCATTGAAATAGTTTCACCCTTAACAGCTAGCATTAACAGTTGTTAGCAGTGGAGTTTTAAAAGAACGCTCCAGCCAGACTAGGAGAACCTCCTTCTAATTTTGAAGATGAGGTAAATGTTTGAATTTTGGATTTTTGGGCTCTATACAGAAAGTGCTGAAGGAAAGAAGCCTGAGAGATAACACTGCCGGGAAGCTAGAAAAACAATTTCTAACAGCCCACCACCATAACAAAATCCACCATTTCTTCAAAAGTTTCCTCACTTCATACAGATCATAATGTTAACTTGTTTTAAACTCCAAAAAAGTCAAATTGGTTCAGTTACTGACGTAAGTATTGGCCATAACAATATATGGCCAATATATGGCCAATATATGGAACGAATAGTTAAAATAAATAAATAAATAAATAAATAAAATAATAACAGTTAAGTACAGAGTTTTCCTTTAAGCATGTTCAGCCGTGCAAAAATCTTGCAGAAAGTTGGACAAGGTTGGACAGTGAATGTTCCAAGGTCTGCTATAGGGTACTTTCTATTGGAAGGTTGTTTGGGACAACAACAATTTCAACTTGTGTTTTAATACCTTTTTGTGTTGATTTATCATGAGTGTAATTTTTAAATAAAAAAAACTCAAAAAATGTTTTTACATCACTACCAAAACACAAAGTTTTAGTCCAGAGGTGAGCAGTTAGATCCCATTGTTTTGAAGTCAGTGTGTCCCAAAGTCTGAAAATCAGCATGTAACATTAATAATTGTCACTACAGAAACACATTTTCTGCAAATAGGTAAATGTTTTTGTGTTTCAACGAAAAATATTATGCTTTTACGTGTATACAGCTATTCAAAGCTGCATTTGCTCATCATTTGCTGGCTAGAATTTTTATGTTCTGCTCAACATTAGCTAAAATTGTCACTGCCAAAACATTTGGTAAAGTTTGAGGAGTGTTTCGATTGTTTTAGTAGTGACAAAATGAAATGTTCAATAATTTCTTTTTAATGAAATAAACATAATTAAGGTATAGGGTCCCTCAAAACAAAAGGATTTTAGTCTGAAGACCAAGTTTGAAGTTTAAAGTCCAAAACATGTTTTCATCTCTGACTTTAAACCAGTTTGGTTGAATAATCCATTTATCTGTGAATCCTATCAGTGCATCCCTAGTTGTATTATTTTGTTAATCGTGTACCTGAGTCTGAGCTCTAACAGTGGACACATGTTTATTTGGGGTCAATGTAGGATGAGTTTTTAAGGCACAGGGCACAAGGAAAGACACACTAGGTTGAAGGCATAGAAGCAAATTCGCATCAGGACCATGCAGTCTCCTCTGTTTGAGTATATGGACGTTGGCTGAACGTATGTCCAGTCAAAGTTCCGAAGGCGTAGCTCAGTGTGCTGATGTGTGTCGCTGAGGGACACCAGGCAGCGAGCCAGGGAGTACTTTGCAGCACAGCTCACTGCTTTCACAGGACGCACTGTGTCAAAGTGCATCAGGAAACAAGGGTCATCCTGTCAGAAAAGAGAGAGGCAGTGTGGTAAAATTCATTGCAAATGAACATCAACCAGTGAAAAACAGTTAGTGTGTACATTATGCATTCTGCTACAGTAAAATAATCTACCCAGCTTTTTTTTTACATTATGTTCTACAGCAAGGGTGGGGGAAGGTAAGGGGTAGGGGTAGACAAGACGGCGACGTACATATTTAGGAATACACACAAACCAAAAATAAAAGACAATACATAAACAATTACACAGCTGAAAAGCATTACATAATTTAATAATTTTTGGAGTAGAGTCATATAAATTCTCCCAGTTTCTTCTTGTTGACTGTTTTGCCTCGTCAAGCTTTGCTGTAAGATATTCCATTCAAATTATACTTAGAAAACTATATATCCAGAATTTCATAGCTGAAAGCTGTGGGGCAGTCTAAAGTTGCAAGACAGTTTTCTTGGTAGCTGTAAAACCTGTCATCAGCATCCTTTGCTGAATCGAAGAAAACTGGAAGGCTGAGCCATCATTAAAAAGATATAAATATGGCGACAGTGGACTACTGAGATCAAGTACTTTAGATAATATCCACTGTAGAGGTTCATAAATCTGCTACTTAGAACAATCCCAGAACATATGCATTAATTTACTAGGTGCACCTACCCAACGTTTTCTGCAACAACATGCATGAATAATACCTGCACCATACAGTCATATTGGAAAAGTTTAAGTGCCCCTGGTCCAATGATATGTTTTGTTGATTTTCCAAGTGAAAATAAGAAACACATCCTCTACTAATATTTTGAGAAAAAAGTTGTAATATTTCGAGAAAAAAGTTGCAATATTTCGAGAAAAAAGTCATAATATTTCAAGAAAAAAGTCATAATATTTTGAGATTTATGACAATTATGACATTAAAGTGGCATTAATACCAGGAAAGGTCGCAATATTGTGGCCAAAGGTTTGCAAAGAGAAGGCAGCACCTCCTCTTGTTAAAATGAGGGGCGTTGAGGAGTTGGTGGAGTTATACTTTCATATCGATTTCACCCATAAAGAAATACTCAGTCTCCCCGTCTCTCCTGGCACATCAGCACCAGCCTGTTATTAGTACAAGAAACGGCTGAAACGGTTGTGCAGGAAACTGTTTATTTAGAATAAAGAGCCAGACGGAGGAAACTGTCTGTCTGTTTTGTTGAAGGAGAATCGCAGGCAGGGTCGTCTACATGGCTATCAGTGGCTACATCTCTTTGCCATTCAAAGAGGGCATGAAGTTTCACAGACAATGAGAACGATAATCAAAATGATTGATCCACAAGGAGACCGGAGTGTGTGGAACTCCGGCGCGGCAGTACAGCAACCGAGATCCCAACGCGTTATGGCAGCCCCTTACAGTTAGCCTACTCTCTCAAAATTCCTCGAAATGTTACAACTTTTTTTCTTGAAAAATTACGACTTTATTCTTGAAATATTATGACTTTTTTTCTCACAATACTACAACTTTTTTCTCGAAATATTACGACTTTATTCTTGAAGTCTACTATTTTTATTTTTATTAACAGTGATCCTAAAACGTCGCCGTAATGTTAATGATTAGATGAGAAATTAAAGCTGTATTTTGTTACCTATACATAACATACTACAGCCAGCATGAGAGTTCACTGTTAACCTGCATATAAATTCACGTAGCTAACATTACTACGAAATCAGCAGGTACATCAGACTGTATTTTGTCTCATTAACTGTATGAATAGCTGTCTTTCTCATCAGCTGGGGTTTGGTACAGACGGCTTTTATAACGTATGTTTAATGTGTGTTTTTCAGCAATCAATGAGGACAGAGATGCAAAAGAGACAAGGAGAGCAAGAGAAAGGGAGAGAGAAGGGAGAGAGAGAGAGAGAGAGAGAGAGAGAGAGAGAGAAAGGTAAATGAAGTAAAATCAATTTGAAACTATCTTTTGATGTAGTGTAGGTTTCAATATGTATTTTCAGCTGGAAATAAACATAAATAAGTCAAATTATTAATTAAATAAACTTAAATGGGGTGGGAGTCAAATCAATTTAGGGAGCAGTAATACCATGTCACTGTGACTGTCAAACATGTTACAGTTGTACAGCCATTGTTTCTACAAAAAAAGTCAAGAAATATGACTTACTAATTGATACTTACTAACACTGACAGATTTATTAATAGAACACTTATTTGTACCTTTAGTATGATGTCAAAAGTGTCTCTATTTGCAGAATGGCTTAGACAGGAACAAACTTAATATTTTTTGTACAAATTTTAGTGCACAGTTTCTTATCATTTGTGGATTTTAGTATAGTATAAATATGGAGAAAATGACATGTAAAATGTGCCATCATTTTTGCACAGACACAGATTTTATTTTTTTTTACACAATATGTTACAATCAACAAATGAACAGTATTTGTGCATTAAGAGGTGAAGACGTGAGTTAACTAATGTAAAACTAAGAGACTATGGGCTATGAAAGACAATATCAATTCATGATTAGGGCTGTAACAAATAACTAATTTGATAGTCAAAAAATCTATCGATTATTGAAACAAGTGATCGATTATTCAGATCATGAATCATTAAATTACCAAATAACTCTTATGTACCTATCAGCCTTTAAATTTACCTTGAGGTTGTTTTATGCATTTGCCGACTAACAATGAAGACATAAAGATGAATGAACTTTTCTGCTAATACAAAAGCTAAGTCCTACAAAAGTCCTATTTATTTTTCCTGTCAATATTTAACACCAAGGATGTGCAAAGTAGCAGCAATTTAATCAAGTATATAAAGAAACAATCAAATTTAAGTGTTAAAGTTAAACAGTGCAGTCTGTCCTTTGTGCATTCTGCTCTCTGTCTACACTCTGTTGCATCTAAATACCACAATCACAGGTCTTTATTGAAAGGCACAATAGTACAACTGACTATCTTTTTTTCTGAGTTTAGTGTGAAATGACCCCACGCTTTAGTGTTGAGGCTGCCATCACATGTTTGTCAACTCTCTAGTAAACGGTAATATCAAAAATTTCCTAGTGAGTGTGAGAAAAATGCGTGATGACATCACAAACTAATCAACTATCAAATTAGTTGCCAACTAATTTGGCTGTCTAAGTTGGAGTCTAAGAGGAAGTAGCCAAAATCCCATTTAACCTAATGAGAAATTGTAGTGCAAACCTCAAAATATGGAAGTTTCGAGTGCGTTATTAATTTTATGTGATATGTTTTTGTATACACAGGAAAGGCCACACTGTTAGGATAGATTAGACATATATTTTTCGTCATGTAATTGAGCACTTTAGCAAGGTGGCAAGTTCTTTTTTCATTTCCAAACTGTCTAGGTTCGATTAAGCCTTGGGTAAACAACTTTTAAAGTCTTAACAGATCACACCATCCGACTGTTTTTTGCTGATTTTTTGGATGACTGAAACATTGGGGTAAGTCTCACACACTACTCAACCTTTAAGTTGCTGCTGCACGGAATGGAACTCACTGAACTTGCGTGAACTCACGCAAACTATCGCGTTCTCCTGTCACTAGGAGACCCAAATAAACAAAGGTGGGGTGGCTCGCTGCTGCTGTTTTCTCTGCCATTTGCGCTGATGCAGTAAAGCAGCAGGTAAACATGTTTAAGTGAGGCTTGTGGGTTTAAAAATGTGATCAGTGTTGTATTTTACAGTTTTAAATGTCCATAAACTGTTCGTGCCTTAAGCTCAGCTAATTAAAACGCTTCGTTCCACATGTGAGTGACTTTTCTCCATTACTCTTTTTTTACTTACTGTATTTTCCTCTTTTGCACTCTCAGTTTTCATTGGCTGTTGTGGGAGTCTGTTTAGATTGAATTGTTGACCAGTTTACACTACTAGATTGCGCTCAGAGTCGGATTGAAAAAATCAAACGTTTATATAATAAACTTGTGCTATGATAAACTCCGACTGGTCTGAAACCCAATCAGGAGGCAAAAAATCGGAGTCCACGCCGCTCGCACACTACTCGATTCTCTGTCCAACTGTTGACTCCGACAGACCCAAAAATCCGCAGACTAGAGCCAACTAGCACAAACTCAGCCAGACTGAGAATCGGGGCTAAAATCGGGGTAAAAATTGTGTAGCGTAAACTTGGCTTTAGCAACATCACCAACATCTAAAACAACTCCAGCTCCAAAGCATAGCATTTTAAACTTCACTGTATGTAGCAAATATCAACTTCAACCTTAATTCATTAGGTTAAGTGGGATTTAAAGCTTGTCTAGCTGCCTAACAGTTGCTTAAAAGGAGCCCATTTGTGAGTCAGTTATCAAACCCTTCATGAGCTGAATGAGGAGCACTGGACTGTAAGAAGCCTGTTCTATGAAACTGTTGACTTACTATGTCAGGGTCTCTCCCATCCAGAATCCTCAGTTCCTGAAGAGCCCACACCTCCGTTTTCACATAACTGTCCTCCAGGCCAATACGCTGGGATTTACAGTCAGCAGGCCGAGCTTTCTGGCACTGCACCACTGCGATCTGGACCTCTTTATTTTTAGATACTACACAAATACAAACACACACGCACATAGACACTGTTAGTTCAGTTATTTTCCTCAAGGACCATTTTGTTGAATTATTTCAGTCCAACAGTATGCACAAGGATCATGTTACGATCTATTTAAACCCAAGGCATTAATTAATATAGTAATATGCTAAATATATACATATATATACATATACATATATACATAAATATATTAAAAATAATACTTACATTTTTGTGATTTTTTAATTGTTTTTTTGTTTGTTTGTTTGTCTTTTTGGTTTCTTTTAAAGTGAAGTAAAAGATTTAGATTAAGTCATCATGAATTTTCAAATAAAAAAACTTATTCAAAAATTCAAAAAATACTGTCCCATGTTTTCATGCCACTACCAAAACATAAAGACTATGCTTGAAATAGCCTGTTAGCCTACATGCCGCTTGCACACTGATTGTGCCCAATAGTAGTAAGTAGTATGCGATATCCAACGTGAATTTCCCCAATATGCCAAAGATACCCCAATGCCAAATATTCCACTATGCAGCCATCATATACTGCATCCCAAAATGCATTGCAATCAGGAGAATGCAACCATTGATGTAACTGCCTGGATACTTTTAATAGCCCTGGATTCAACCTTTCCATATATTGACAAAAATAGGGTTTTGAGATAGGGTCTGATTGGCTCAGTCCCTAATGTTGGCAGTCTAGTTGCTTCCTGTCCTGTAGTAAAAAAAATAAATAAATGAAAGCATATGGCGTTTGTCACATACTGGATACTGTACTGTATACTACTATAAAAAGTAGCATGCAGTACACAGTAACACAGTCAAAGAGTTTTAGGTCTGTAGGAGGAGCATCATTTTAACCACACTACTGAATCTTAGAGCAGGAAGTGAGACTTCGTCCCTGCCCCTCATGGTTTCCCTCACAGAAGTATTCAACCTCCTTATAAATCATCAGATTCATCTGGATTTCAAATGACAAGGATGTCCCTCAAAACAGCAGTTACATTCTGGCGCCTCAGACATCAGAACTGCTGCACCATTTAAGGCAGAACAGGAAAATTTTAACAAGAAGCTGGTGAATAATCACTAAAGAATTAGGGGTGGGTGATAATAAATAATTTTACTACCCATTTAACTCAGTTCCAAGGGGCAAGATAAGCCTTGAAAACAAGGGGTAGGGGTGATAAAGAAATGAGATTGGGCCTTGGAATACTCTACATCAGTTAGTAGTTCAACAAGAACCTTGTAAGACTCAGCTTTGAGCAATTAATGCTGAATTGATCAGTAATTCATGAGTAGTTACTTTAAGAAACCGTAGGTACTAAGTAGTTCTCTATGAACCTCAGTAGTTATTGTTTAGTTAATGGTGAACTACCCTTATCATTAGCTCACTACTACGTACTGAGTAATAAACTAATACTCCTTGGTAGTTAATAGTAGTTACTTATATGTTAATGCAGCACTATTTATTAATTCATGAATAGAAGGGTGTCTATTAAAAAGCCATTACTAAAGAAAAAATAACAAAGCATAAGAGTGATCCAGGTAAAATGTGAGACAAGGTTTTGTGGTCAGTTGAGGCAAAAATGGATCTTTTTGGCTAAAAAAACAAAATGCTTTGTGTGGTGCAAACCTAACACTGCTCATTCCTCAACAAACACTATCCCAACAGTGAAGTATGGGGGTGGCAGGATCATGTTCTGGGGATGCTCTCCTCAGTAGGGAATGGGCTAGTTGCAAGTCTGCCTGGAATAATGAGTGAAAACAGAGTGCCACAAACAGTGTGCAGACTTACCCCAACAGACTTAAAGATGTTAATTGCAGCAAAAGGTGGTTTTACCAAGTAGAAATCTGAAGGGTTTAAATACTTATGCAAGCAGTATTTTTCAAGATTCAAGATTACTTTATTGTCATTGCATAGAGTACAACGAAAATGGGGCAGCAATCCCAACGGTGCATTAACAAAAAAAAGGATTACACCAGGAATAAAAGCTCATATAAAATGCAAGATATTAAAAGAAAGACTATATAATTTAACACTATAAAAAGGGTTTAAAATAAAAAAGAAAACTATAAAATAAAACAAAATTATAAAAAAGGAAGATAAAAAGGGTGAATATAAAAGAATATAGCAGCTATGGTACTGCAAATAGGAGTATTACATGTACGTGAATGGTTGTGTTTCTGTTTACAAATAGTGCAGTTTAATAAATAAATATAAAAGTGCTAATGTATTTAAACGTTTTGTTTTGGAAGTTTATTTTGAGTATGCTTTGGATGTTTTTGCCATTTTTAATTATTTTTAAAAGAATTACTGAAAAGTAATACATTTTGACTGATTTAAATAACTTTAAGAGCATATTGGTTTAGAAAACCAGCAAAACATATTATTTAAACAGTGGTGCCCACACTTTTGCATAATACTTTATGTATTTTTGTAGCTTTGGTTTTACTCACAGTAGCTATGTCAATAGCTTGAATTATATGTTTTTGAAATAAGGCAGTTTTCTTCAATTATTCACTTAATGAACAGGGTTGAAAAGCGTGGTCAAATATTACTGGTTACACCAATATAATTCTGATCATTCATGTAGTTGAAAGGGTTCTTTTCTTTTTAATCACAATATTATCATTCACACACTTACAATTTAAATGTATTCTTACATATTATTTTTCCATTTGTTCAGAAGCACATTAATGTTGTTGTAATTAACAAAGTATCTATTTGACATAATATTATTAATATATTAATAATATTTTTAAAGGACTTATTTGCAGAAGCCTATAATTTATATGTCTGTTCATATCTTATTGGTTATGTACCTTGTCACTGGCATTGTAGTACAAATTTTAGAAACTGAAAGAGCTTGATGAGGGTATTATTAGATACAACTACCAATAGACCAGTATGCAATATAAGCATGCAACTGTGCTGTAAGGCTCTGACATGTTATTTTTGTGGTGCATATTTTTAGAAAAGCAATGAGCTTGATGAGAGTATTATGAAATGCAAATACCAATGAACCAGTATACATTATAAGCACACAAAATTGTTGTAATTGTGCAGTAAAGCTTTTACATGTTAATCAAAGGAATTAATAACAAACCCAAAGACCAACAGGGCAAATATAAGCATCAATACTAATATATGTAAATGTAATACAATACTAATAAATGTAAATGTAAAATGTAAAAATGTAATATTTGACATGGCAAAACAGTTGTTTTAGGGTCTGAATGAGGATCCTTTTAGAAAACCAGAAAAAAACAATTTCTCCAGGTTTTTCTCATTGCCACAGAAAATCTGTAATGCAATGCTGAGGAAGTAACCAAACAGCACTTCAATATAAATACATTTTTATGCATACATACATACATCTACGGATGTCTTACCGGACACGCAGAGGAAATGCCGTCCCCTTTTTTCCTCCTCAATCTCTATAAACTCCACCAGTGTGCGTTTCTCTGGTCTGAATAAAACTCTCTGCATCTCTTCTTTTAAAAGAGATGACATCTCAGAGAGATAAAATAGATGGATTATTTGATGTGAAAGCAAAAAGACAAAACTAGATTTGCTCCTGCTTGCTTTGACTGCTCTCTCTCAAATGTCTCCCTCTCTCTCTCTCTTGTTCCGTCTCTCTTCTTTCCTCTCTCTCCCTCTCTCTGGGCATCAATAGTTATCAAATCGCATTTTCCATTTAAATCCCCATTATAAAAGCACCAATTAAAGACCAGTTGCTTCGAGACCACTCAGAATTTCTTGAGGAGCTACGCGCCATAAATATTCAATTGTGTTCGATTTAGAAATGCATAATTCATGTTTATGAAATTCATTCACACAAATGCACACTCCCTCTATCTCTCAGACACATGCACACACACCAGCATTTATTATTCTTTAAAAAAGATAATCAATATTTTCCTGTGTGTAACTGTCATTAGATGTGAGCAAACTGACGCCATATAACTGGGTTTCTGTTGGGAAAAGCGCTCTATTGTACTGCTCCTCTTTGTGTAAGGGAAGACTGATGGTAAAGTGCTATGGGCAATCCTATGAGGTTTTGCTAAAGTGGTTTCAATTTATTTAAAATGGAAAAAGGATAGCTCCCATTCCCCCCACCTCCTGCCTTGTTGGAGTCCAGTCAGAGTCACAAGTTAGCAACCTGTAAGAAGCAAAGCTGGCATCTTACGATCTTATAGCCATCCTGTATGGAATATTCTACTGAATTAGTTTAATCTGTGGTGCCACAGTAAAACAAATATGAACAAAAAATAAAAAATATATTTAAAACAATAAACACTCCAGCCTGATGTGTTTAAAAGGATTCGGTTATGGTCTATTTAAACCCGAGGGTTTAAGAGAGAGTAATAAGCTTAATATATGCAAAATCATCACTTATAGGGCACCTTCTATTGGGAGCTGGCTGTTCCAAACCCTAACTCCTACGTTTCAGCTTGCTGAGTCTTTCTGTTGACCTCCAGGCCAGCTCTGAATGCTTGCTGCTGGGCTTGCTCGCTGCCAGTTCTGCTACGTTCTCTCCAGGCCTCCTGAACACTAGTCACAGATTCAGTCCTTCCTCTCACCAACTGTCCTCTTCTTATGTGGCCAGCCACATGATTCCCACCACCTCTGCGGTCATTTCACTTCCTCTTACCTGCCATGATCTGAGTTGGCTCCGCCAGAGCTGCTCCCCTGTCACCTGCATGTTTGAGCCATCCCACTTCTGACAGCATTGTGACGTCCACAAGTCAACAATCTCACTCTTGTTCTCATTCATTCAGCTTGTGGATTTTTAAATAAGACTATAGCTTTCCATTTTGCTCTTGTTTATCCCTGCTAAAAACAGCATTGACCAACATGGCTAGTCATCAGCAAACCAGGCTATGTCTTGGATGCTAGTATGCTATTCAACAGCAATGGAAGCTGTTATGCTGATCATCACAAAAACCAGCACATGTGTTTTGAATGCTGGGGTGCTGGCCAACCAGCATTACCATGCTCCAGTTTGTGTCTTTTCAGCAGGGTTGGCAGTTGTCTGCCGGTTGGTTTTAGCATTAAGTAAGTCTCTTGCAAGGACTGTACAATATAGTCTGCTGAAGGTGTTATATAAGCCATTTAGAGAGCCTACATCTTACATTGTTCTAGTATTTTACTTTTTTCTGTGAGGTCTGTTTATGATGTTTATATGGGTTTATGTACCAAAAGTAGTGATCATTCATTTTTATATTTTCCAACCTCACTTCATCTTTTTCGAATCAAATAGTATTACACTTCATATAAAGAGTCATTCTTGTCTGAAACACTCCTTATAACTTCGATGTGAATGGACTACACTAATGAGATTGAATGTAACGTGCCAGAACTAGTCAGATGTATGCGGTTAAATTAAGAAGATGAGGCTTTACTGGTTGGGATGTAAGACACAGTTGTTAGCAAAAAACAGGCAAAGGTCAGATCCAGGGAAAACCAGATACAAAAAGAGCAAAGCATAACAAGGACTGGTCCAGGCGATGGCATATTAAAATGAAGTTTCAAAAATAAGTGCAAATGTTTGGCTATGATCTACTCATCATTTAATGATGAACAAATTACAAAGTTAGCATAATAACTGCTACTTTATTGTCACAATTAAATACAATTAACACCGTATTGCAACGACATGTACTTAAAGGCCTAGAAGTCTTCAATATAAATAAATAATAAATCATCAGATATGCTATTGTTTAAAGGTTTGGAATCAATGTTCTTGATAATAAAAAGCCAATTTTGTTTCAGGCAAATATATAAAATGATTCTAACATGGTAGCCCCGGAAAACGATGGTTTACCTCAAAGAGAACTATTGCATGAAATGGTTACAAATATACTGTGTGATGCCTGAGAAATCATTTTACAATAATTTGAGATAAGACTGTGGCCTAAGTCGTACTTTTTTAAATACATACATGGTGGAGAGGTACATGTAAGGTAAAATAGTGCCAAAAGAAAACATACTGTCCAGTTTCCTTCTTTGCTTTTAAAAGTGTAACATAGTGCAATATACCATACCTAATTGCAAAATTTCTTTTAGCAATAAATACAACTTTTTTTTTAAATTAGTATGTTTGTGATCTCTGTTCATTAAGGGGTCAGGCAGGCTGTAAACAACCCTTAAGGACGCATGATGAAGGAACTGGTAGTGGGCGATATAGTACTTTAACCAGTATACCAGCTGAAATTTTGTCATTACCTTTATAATACAATGCCACAAATAACGCAGCATGTAATACAAAACGTCAAGTCTCTCATCTCCCGTGCACTCTCAGAAAAAAGGTATGAAACTGTTGCCTTCAAGAGTACATCTCAGTACCTCAGGGAACATAACTGTATTGTTGTACTGACACAACCCGTCTCATCTCCAGGCTTTTTATTTATTTATTTATTATTATTTTTTTACCCGATTTTCTCCCCAATTTAGTCGTTTCCAATCCCACCCGCTAGTCAGGACTCCCCCAATCACACGATGCTATCAACGCTAGGAGGGTGAAGGCTAACACAGGCTTCCTCCGAGACCTGTGAAACCAGCCACCGCTTCTTTTCGAACTGCCGCTCACGCAACGTCACTGGACAGCCGAACGCGCTCGGAGGAAAGCGCCAACCGCCAGATTTGACTAGCATCGCGTTGAGTGATGGGGGGAGAAGGAGGGGCCATCCTACCCACCCAGAGAGAGCGAGGCCAATTGTGCTCTCCTGGACTCCCGGCTACGGATGGCTGTAGCATCACCAGGGATCGAACTCGCGATCTCCTGATGATAGGGCCAACGGTTGCGCCACTCGGGAGCCCCTCAGGCTTTTTATCTTATTGTTCTGTTTTAAACATTAGGTTATAAAAAGGTACAAAGGTATTTATTTAAGGTACATACTTGGACCTTAAAACCACTGTTGTACCTTTGAGGGAACATTTACAGTGTTTGTTCGTTGATGAATGAAAAATGTACCTGAACAGAACCCTTATTTCTAACAGTGTGTAGTGAGTCAGTCAGTGCAGTTTGTTGTTGAAGGAGCAGACATGAGACTTTTTTATAAAAACGTCTGAATATCTCAGTGCATTAATACAGGATTCAATTTAATAAGTATTTTATAATGTCAGCCAATCAGCTTTTACATCTGCAAGTTTCTGTTTTATAATTGATATTTTGATGGGTCGCATCATTGTTTTTAAGCCTGTCAGTTAAGGATTGATTGGCTTTTAAGAATTTGCCAAAATCTGCATCCCTAGTGCCAATATTTGTCATTATAACACCTAATTTTTTTGGATTTGTGAGCATCAGAACAATAGAGTGAAATTGACATATATTACTATAATAATGACAACAATACAGTGTTTGGGGGAAAACAATTTTTTGTTTTGCAAGAATGACATGCAACATCATGAGGCGCCCCCTGGCATCAAAATTGGCATCAAATTGCCCCCAAAAATGCCCCAGGGCACCCAGGGGGTATTTTCATTATTATTGACTTGGCTGCAGTTCCTCAACTACTCACTAGGTGTCGCCACATATTTAGCATCTGTCTCGCTCTAAACAGCCTGCCTTTGTTTCATAAAGGGCTTAATAATTATTTAATGTGTTAAAACGAGAATGTAGCGAGAAGCAAATCCACAGGACTGACATCAAGGATCTACTTAAAAGCCATATTAAAAAGACAAATAAAGCGGTTGAGAAACCTAGTCAGAATTGTTCACAGTGGTGGTGATAGGAACCAGTTGTCCCCCTCTAAAAGCTCGCCCACAGAAAGTTATTACATGAAATAGTTATGAATACACTGCCTGATGTCTGACACATTGTGAGTAAATAAATGGTTGTATTTGTGTTGTAGACATTGCGACCCTGTGGTTTCTATAACCACCACTGTAAAGACGTCTGAGTCTGTAAGTTTCTCTCCAGTCAACCATTTTACATCAAACCAATCTGAATGACTCTGTTTACGGCTCAAGGACTGAATTATTCAAAAATATTGAAAATTTGCTAGAATTCCCCTTTAACTGGGTGCAGCATAACCTGTTCACCCCATTCCACAAAATAGACAGATTCAATATTTTTTAATGAACTTTTTTTTATGTAATATTCACAAAAATTAGAAGGTCTAACCTTGTTAACAGGGAGCGTAGCAGTTAGTTTTGCCTGAAATCACAACCTCAATGTGATGGGGGTTGGACTCAGTGATATTTGGCAAAAATAAATAATAAATAAGTAAGTGCATGGGAAAATCTGTTGTATGGTTATAGCAAAATGTCTGTGTTTACTTTGTATTTATTGTCTTTGTACTTATTGTGTATATACACTCACTGAGCACTTTATTAGGAATACTGTACTGAGTAGGGCCTCCTTTGCCCTCCAGTCAGTCTCAGTTCTTCCTGGCAAGACACCACAAGATGTGGCATGAACATATTAGTGAGTTAAACCTGGTGCAGATTAACTTCCAAAAAAGTCAGTGGCTCTAATTCCATTTGCTAACTTAGTCCAGTTTTTAAATCATGTGTGCTTGGTTTAATTTTGAATGAGTTAAATAACAGCATCAGTACTGTCAGGTAAGGACTACACCAGTATCTTCAGGTAGTTCCTGCCCCTTTTAGCCCAGTCTTCCATGAACTTTGTGCTTAATGTCCTAGGA